TGAGGATTCCCAGGTGGCTCAGTGGGTAAAAGAATTGCCTGCCAATGCAGGAGATGTGGGTTCAGTCCCCAGGTTGGAAAGATCCTCTGGAGGAGGACATGGCAACCCACTCCAGTTTTCTTGTCTGGAGGATCCCATGGACAGAGGAGCCTGGCGAGCTATAGTCCACAAGGTCTCAAAGAGTCGGACACAACTGAAGCGCCTGAGCATGCACACATGTAGATGGGATACAAGTGGCCGTTCAAGATGTGGAATAGTCACCTGTGAACAGAAACCATGTTGATCTCTCTGTTCTGTTTGCGCCTCTCTGCTGCTTTCTTATTATGCCCTCCTACCTGGACTCTATCAAATTGGCCCCATCCCTTTCCTTTCTAACCCAAATCTTATGGCATAGTTAACTCAGAGGACAGTCGAGGTACATATAAAAGTGGCTCAATCCCCTTTGAAGCTGTGGGGAAGGAATTGAACTGGGCAGTGGATGTGCTGGGGGTGGAGGTAGGAGGGGCTTGTGGTTTCCCTAATGAGCTCTGATTGACAGCTTCTGCTTCTGCTGATCATCTCCAACATGGAAGAGCTGTCTCATTCCTTTGGTTCCCTTAATATCTACCCAACCAATCAACCGACTCAATCTAATAAGTAAATAAAAACCAAGGCCTTTGTGGGTGTAGCAGAGGGAAGCCAAGTCTTTTTCAAAGTAATGTAAATAACTTAAAAACCTCAGCATTCTCAAGGTTAGAGAGACTTGGCCGTTTCGGCTAATTCAGGTTCTAATACTAACTTCCCTCCTCCCCTCCCATTGCTTCTTGGGTCCCTCACTCCTTCTCTTCCTGCTTCTCAGGAGTAATTGACAAACAGACCCTACTCATTATGCCCATATTTGAATGCAGAACAATTTGGCCTTACTCTATTTTCCCCTCTTCTTCCAGACTCTGGATCTGATTTATCTTTTTACACTCAATAACCTATTAAAATAGTATAATAAAGACTATACCTGAAGAAGAATTCTGAGGTAGCTGTTAATTAATCACAAGCCCTTTCACACAAAGTCAATAACCAGTTGCATTGGTTTTTTGTTGTTTTCTTTTTAGCTTTTACTTACTGTTAGAATGGTTATTGTTTTGGTCAGAACTACTTATAAAAATTTGCCCCAAAATTCAGAAGAGTGCAAAAAACCAAAAAATTTGTAGCCTCGAAAACTCAGTATCTCTTCAGGACAATCCCCATTTCTCCTCTCATTCATATCTTTAACTTCCTCTCTCTAAGCAAAGGATCATTGGTTTGACTTTTTGGGGCTGCCTCACTTAATTTTAGAGAAATATAGATCCTGTCTGAGATCCAAGGAGGCATTTGTCAGCATTAAGGGCCTCCTTCAGTTCCATCCATGCCCATAATATTTGGCAGGTGTTCTTCATAGTTTGTGGTTTGGGATTGTAGCTGTTTCCTTGCTTCATTCATGATAGGAAGATTTTTTTCCTTCTATTTTTGTTCCATTTATTGTTTTCATTGGATTTTAAGGAAGAGGAATGGGTAATGTGTTTTTACCCTGCTGTCTTTAACACTGAAGACCAAGGTTTAAAAGTAATTTTGTGTCTGCTTTAAATTTTTTTACTTCAACAAAAAAGTTAAGAGAAGGAGGTATTCAAAACTCTAGCTAATTTTCAGTTGTTTAGGTGTCTGAGAAAGAAGAGCTTCCGTGAACAGCAGTCAGTTCCTCTCGGAAGATGGCCTTCCCATGGCACTGGTACCCTGGTTAGAATTTCCCCGGGAGAGATGGCCTAGCTCCCTGGGAGCTATCACCATAGATTGCCCATGCGGAGAGAGCAGACCGCAAATTACACCAGCTGCAAACACTTACACAGCACATGTAGGAAGGTTACATGCCCAAAGAGGCTGATGCCCCGAGACTGAGAGGACTCATCCCTCAGCTGTAGAACATCAGGAGGCTAAAGAGAAAGACAACCTGTGAGTTACACATCCCTGCTTCGGCTGCATGAGGGCGCATACACTTCTCCTTCATCCAGATGCCACCTTGAGAACGAGGGAGGGAGAAGCTTAGAAGGTAGAGAATTGGCTCTGATAGGGAATTTCAATGGCTGAACTGCGTGAATTCAGCACCGCTTCTTTTTTTTCACCCTGGAAGAGGCTGTTCAGCAAGTTTATTTCTGCTGTCTGTAGGACTGAGAGCTTTGGAGTAAGATTAAATCAGTTATAGAAAACAAATAAGCTACTGTTTTGGTACATCTGATTTGTAAGATGTAAATCTTGACCCTCCAACATCTGTGGTGTCGGCTCCATCTTTCCTCGAGGCAGCTGGCTCGAATGAAAGCTGCATGGACCTGGGAGCTGGCCTTGGTGTGCTCCTGGCTCTTCCACAAACTGCCTGGGTGATACTGGTTACAACAATCTTCTAGTTCTAAACTCCATCAGGTTGAAGCTGCAGGGGTTGGACCAGATCTGCTATTTTCAAAGAGTCTTTTTATTTTATTTTTTTTTTTAGCTGTGCCCTTTTGTTAAATAAACTCTTACTTAGATGGACAATATATAAACAGATACATTTGGAGTTTCCTCTGGCAAGTAGGGAGGAGGTGTCGGGGACCACGTGTACTTGAGAGCCCCTTGGGCGCCCCCAGGAGTTTGTAAATCACTACTGAAGGCTATGATCTCTAGTCCTTTTTTATTCTAATCCTCCATGATTCAATATCTGCTCAAGGCCAGAAGGAGCTGGCAGAGGCATAAAATAATCTATTCTGTGGTCCACAGGCATCCAAGGAGATTGGTGCTAACTTGTATTTTGGGGGAGAAGACAATTATCTTAATGTTAAAACACAAAAATTCCCAGAACTGCATGGTGGATAGAAGTTATGTCATTTGCAACCAGGAAGAAAAAAAACACAACAACAACAAAAAGCTTGAGGTAACCCATAAACTAGAAACTGGGTCACTATTGTGTGATTAACATGGTAAAGTCATGTCCAAGATTCAGCAACCGTTTAGCATTTCATATGTGCTGGGTGCTGGCTCTGTCATCTGACTTGAGAGTCCTTGACAGCATCCCAAGAGGCGAGTATGATTTTCATTTTACAGATAAAGACAGCAGATTAAATAACTTGCTCAAATATCAAACACTATTACAGAGAATCACAACTTTTTAGAAAAAAAATTTACTGCCATAAATAAGATGTGCACATATACGATCAGTGAACCCAAACCATGAACTTCTCATTCCATAGAAACTACCCTTAAGTGACACTCAGAGCATTTTTGCACATGAAATGGATAAGGAAAATGTTTGAGACAAACAATCTGAATTTTAAATGCAGATCAAAGGTCCTTGCTGTGGTGAAAGAAGCCTGTGGGTATTTCAGGGAGGTTCACCCAGAAAGTAGGCATCTTCCTCCACTTTATGGACTTATATTTTAAGAAGCCCAGTCATTCTAGTCCATGCAGAAAAACTTTCAAAGGAATATTTACAATGTGGATCTTATATTAAACATTTGGCTTTATAAACTTAAATATTTGTAAAAGCATATGTAAAATAAATTTTAGTACACAAACTGACGTGTGCAAAACATATCAATTTCGTTATTTCTTTAAATTGGGTTAGTTTTCTGGCTCTCAACTGCCATGCTTCCTCTAAGACAGCAAGATTGTCTATCTCATTCTTGTCAGGAACTCTATCTCCTTCCAAGAGTCACACCAGAAACCAGAGGATTTACTTGCAGTGAAGACAGTTGAGGAAGAGCCTCTGATCTCCAGTCTCTTAAGGTATCACTGGCATCAATCTGTGATGCTTACACTGGGGCCCTGGGTTTTGGTGGTGCCATTCGTGAGTAGGGGCTTTGCAGTGGGCACCTCCCTCTAGGCACATCAAGAAGTCATCTCCTCTGGGCAGGGCTGGCTGCGTGGTGGCCATGTGACTGTGTCATTTCACAGGGCCCTGAACTCAGGAGAGCCCTGAATTTGTTTTAATGCTCTGTGGTTTCCATCTTGAAATTTGGGCAAGGACTGCCATGTTTCATTTTGCACTGGATCCCCCAAATTACATAGGTGATCCTGCTGTGGGTTTAAGCCACCAGCTCCTCTGCTCACTTTCTCAGCACACCCTGCCATCCTGTTTCCCTCTACCACCTTAAGAAGAACTTCTATCTCTGACTCTCTGCCAATCCAGTGCTTCATTCCTCTTCCTTAGAGTCTGGAGGGCGTGCTATTTTCTCAATGGCCGTAGGCATTTACTAAAAAACAGGAGGAACTGCAGACTTTTCAGGGGCTTCTGTCTTCCATCCTGCAAAAATCCCTGAGGCAAGGGAGCACAAGAGGGACTGGTTCTTACTTGAGATGAGAAAAGACAAAACAAATATGTGGGGAGAAAAATGACACCTTAATCTGTCAATAAATTATTGTTACATGTATAGTTGTGTTTTAATTAACTCTAAGTAATTTTCATGGTCAGTTTTGGTGATTTTGGCCAATAAAATGGGTCTCTAGGACCCAACACATATTGTGCTTAGTCACTCAGTTGTGTCCGACTCCTTGTGGCCTCATGGACTGCAGACCACCAGGTCCCTCTGCTTATGGAATTTCCCAAGCAAGAATACGGGAGGGGGTTGCCATTTCTGACTCAGGGGGATCTTCCTGACCCAGGGATAGAGTCCACGTCGCTTGTATCTCCTCATTGGCAGGGAGATTCTTTACCACCAGCGCCTGGGAAACCCCAACACGTATTGCTGCACTCATGAAAAGCAAGAACGCAGGGACCTAAAGTGGGTGTTGCCAGTAGTAGGGTGATCATATACATTCTAGCTTAAATTTGGACATTTTTTTATGTCTTTGTCGCTGCATGCAGACTTTCTCTAGTTGTGATGAGAAGGGGTTACCCTCTAGTTGTGATGTGCAGGCTTCTCATTGCGGTGGCTTCTCTCTCGGAGCACAGGCTCTAGGGTGTTCAGACTTCTGTAGTTGTGGCCCATGCAGGGCTTAGTTGCCCTGCAGCATTTGGAATCTTCCCAGATCAGGGATCAAACCCATCTTCCCTGCACTGGCAGATGGATTCCCAACCACGGGACCACTAGGAATGTCCCGAACTGGGACATTTTTGAAAGGGCCACTATTCATAGTTACACTGGAGCACTATGGACACACTGGGATACACAGTCCCCCATCTGTAGCAGAGTCAGGACTTGAACAGGTCTGTGTGGCTCATGCTCTCTTGATATTAATTAGGATAATCTGTGGCCAGCTCAGCCACTTGCCATGAGTGCTTTATCCTACATCCATTCAGTTTTGGTCCTGTTGACAAGGCCTGAGAAAGACTAGGTTCACAACCAGAGAATTTTATTCATGAAAAGCCCAAGAACTGCATTCCTGAGTTGCAATTGGCCAGTGCTCCAGGCATGAATGGGGGAAGTTTCATCTTCAATATTTACTAAAAACAGACGCTGAAGTTTGAGAAGCAAATGTAAAGTGCTCATTCCGAAAGCCTCTTTATATACATGTTAAATCAGTTTGTGGGAAAGAGACTACAGAGATTGTTTAAACATTCATAATGATGACACAACTGTTCGAAAATATGCAGTTCCTTGTAGTTATATGTGGAATTAATTGCATATGGAGGAAGTTATCTTTTGAAACTGGATTAAAAGGAAATAGTTCATAACTCAGTGATATCAACATGCACACCATTGTACTCAGGACTAAGCTTTGCCTTGTCTTTCTTATCTCAGCCACTGTCTGAAGAAGTTATTTTCTTGCTTAAGGCGTCATGACTGAAGTATGTAGCTCTGTGGAGGGGAAGAAAAAAAAAAAACTGGGGCCAGATGGAAGAAATGTCACTTTAGCCCAAGTGGTACTATTGGGAGTCTCTTTCTGATCTTGAATTCTGGAGTTCAGCTCATGTGTGTTGGCCCTTTAGTGGAGGATGTAGAGAGCTGGTCCCTCTCCACTTCTCTATTCCTTCGAAATAAAGCAGCCAGGGTTTGGGAGCAAGATTTCCTCCCTCACCGCACAGCGCGTTTCAATATTCATCCTTCAATGAATTACCCACAATTCTTAGCAGGGCATCTAGTTAACCACAGAGCAGTCAGAGAGCTATGTTTAGAGAGAAACAGCGCCTTATCTCTTGCACTCCAAGGGAAATCAGCAGTCATTTCCTAGAGATGGTCTCAGCCTGACTCTGGGGCTCCAGTTCCTCTCCGATACAATCAGTGCTCAGCCAAAGCTACATAAAGTGGTGACACTCCCCCGTATGTCTAACTCAGGCACTAATCACACTTTTAGTACATCTGTTGTTTTAAAATTTCCAGTCCCATTAATTCTTCCTTTTTTTTTTTTCTTTTTTAAGATATGAGGAGTTGAGAATACCCATATTCACTTTGAAGTGCCGTCACTTAAATGAAAGATCTGGAAAAAAAAATCGAGACATGAGGCAATCCTGAAAATATGAATAAAAGAATATAAATATTTCTCCAGCCTCTCTAGTCTTCATTAAAATACGCAAGAGGAAGAAACCGGTTTGCCCTTCTATATTTAATTTGGACTCTGACCTCTTTGAAAACTTCAGCAATATGATTAATTTTAGCTTATCTTATGGAATGTCTCTCCACCTATAAATAAGTCTATTCATCTTCAGAAGAGCATAAATATTCCTCCTGTTTTACAGTTATTTTTAAATATCTCTTACATATAATTATAATGGGATCTATTTCCAGGACAATAGCTAAGTATCAGTTACATTTCCATTATGCTCTATTAGTTTCATGGTCGGAAAACTTAAGCAAAAATAAGCTTCTCTGGATGAATATGAATCCAGCATTAACCAGAGTAACATGAATAATTCAAAGAGCTCCTGACATTCAATCTAACAAAACCAAAAAGAATAAGAAAAGAGAAGAGAAAGAGGCAGAGAAGAAGAAAAAGAAGAGAAGGAGAAGAAGGAGAGCTTGAGAGTTTTTAATTTTAGGTAGAGGTATAAAAAAATTCCATTATTACATTTTTCATGTTATCCCACATAATGTTAGAAAATCGGAAGACCCTTCTCTACACTTTATTAGTGTCTGATTTTCCACTTTTCTGTCTCCCAGAGTCTGCAGGCTCAAGCTAGGTCCATGTAGCCACATAGGAAAGCACTTTGCCTACAAGAACATACTAAACCCAGCATTGCATTATTTGATACCTTGAGACTGAGGATGTTAAAAATTATTTCCAGGGTGATATTATCTTCAAATAATTAATAGTATTTATAACAATAATCTATAATTTAAACTGGTGATAAAAGCAACCTGTTCAAGGAGAGATGGCATATTCAGCTATTAAAAATCATATTGCTATGGGAAAGAAGTTAAGTATCTGGTATTTCTAGGGCCACAATTCATTTCTTATATTTGGATTCGAACCTTTAAAATGAAAACTTACACATGGGACTCACACATGGAAAATGAATGGTCAATTTGTTTGCTCTCTAGATCATTCCCCACTGGAAGGACAAACTTTCCATCAGAAGACAAAGGATATGCTTTTCTCAGAGAAATATCTCCCCATTAATAAATAGCAAGCTAACACTGAACACTTAAGTAGTGTTCCCGCCAGTCATGTGAGTCGTGTCAGCATCAACCAGCTGGTCCTTGTCTGTTTTGCAGTCAAAGAAAATGGGAACTCAGCATGTATCCAAGTTCCCAAGGATAGGAGGATTCGAGCTGCCAGGTGTGCGCATGGGCAGAATGCCCAACCCCAGGTCATCTTACAAAAAAGCCTTGCTCAGGCATGGCCAACAAAGGAAAGCAAGCAAAAGGTCACAGTTGCTGTTTCTGCAACATAGTTACTCTCTGCGAGACACCCTCATATTTTCTTTTTTTCCAGTTGTTAACTAAATGTTTAAGGAGCACATTAGAGTCATGAAAGGAGGTTGGAAGGGCAGGCAGCTCAAGTGTTGTGATTTCTACCATTCATGAAATCAACACAATTCTTTGAGTAATCAAAGGTGCGTTCCGAAGAACTGAGAATGTGGCAGGCAGGGGTAGGGAGTAGGGAATTGCCAAGTAGCTGCCACCTTTGGCCTATTTGCTTCTATTGATGCCATCCAAAAACGAGGATCATATTTATCAACACACTTTTCAGGCAGAGCTTTCAAGTATTCACGTGTAACTATTGTGGAGCAAATCTTGGGCAATCCACTTTGCTTCTGTCTAACCTGGAAAGGTGAACTGGAATGAGAGTGATTTTCTGCATAATTTGATCCAATGGATGAATACTCTGGAGTCATGTGATAGGGTCAAGGTTCTTGCAGCTCATGCCTTAGAACCCAGTTACACGGGAGACCATGTTTGAACAATGTCCTTTAAAGAATTCAGTAACTAAACCCCACTGGACATGAGCCAAGACAAGCCTCTTGAATGCCAAATTCCACTCTAGTGGGTCATGTTATTGGATGGCTCAAATGAATTTGGGCCAGGAAAAAAAGGGCCTCCTTTCCCTCAATAGTTAGTTTTTTGTCTGAATTATCCAGATAATGGCTTTACTTTTCAACTTTCCTTTGCCTGCACGGAGTAGAAAGGCAGCTCTACATTTTTGTCATAATAGAATCATTACCTGTAATTCTCAGAAGTCATCCTCATGAAAATGGGTAAATTTGTATCAAAAAGAGCTACCTAATTTGTAATAGTGATTTATTCTTTTATAATTTCTTTTAATTCGTTCACTGTGACCAATTCAACAACTATTTACTGGACAAACAAAAAGACATATTATTCTTTGTATCATGCCCATTTGTTTGGAAATCTCACATTAGCTGAAAAATCTGTAAAGTGTTATGAAGCATCAGGAAAATGTGAAAAACTTTTGGAAAAGTTTTCTGCAGAGGCTGTGTTTATTTAAAAACAGAAAGTTCACTTGTAAGCCATGTGTATTCTTTGAAGTCAACACGGCATCTTTTGATGAAAAAGATGTCAGGTATTAACATTTAATCCTGACAACATTAGTCTCCCACTCCCTATCGCAGATATACTGTATCTCTCTTTGAAGACTGGAGAAGTGGAAACCTTCATATTGTGACTTTTCCTTCACTGGATGGTCATTTCAGTCCAAGACACTTGTCTTGTACCTACTTAACTCACTAGTTCATCTTGTAAAGCCAGAAAATATAAAATAAAGCGATAGGGGAGTTTTCTTTCCAGTCTCACCTGTCATTTCTGCTCTCCCAATCCTTCCCAAAACTTAACAGCCCATTTGAGAAAGAAAGAAACTCATACTTCAAGGTAACCCATATGTAATGTATCTCTTTTTCTGCTATGGTATTGATCATTGCTGTCTTGGTTCTTACAATAAAACAAGCTACGTTACCCAAGGGTCAGAGAGAGGGAAGTTACATCCTGAGGGTGGTAAGATTCAATGTTAGTTTTGAGGATCCTCTTGCAGTCTTTAAATGTGGTCTTCAATGAGTTGGCAGTTGGGAATTGAGGTACGATAGTGGACATAGGAACATGACAATAAAGCTAAGCGGCTCACCTGTTATTTGCTTGAGTGTGTGACCTCTCTCATGAGTGACAACTGTGTGACTCCAGTTCTTCACAAGGGGTCAATCAGAGGATAGAAAAGGCTGTGGGGACGTTCAAGCATCAGATGAGTAGATGGACTGGATGATCATCATAAATTGTATGAATGGACTGGATGACCATAAGTTGCATGAATTACAATTAAAATCTTTGCTACTGTTGCAATTTTTATGTGCGTGAGATAATGTCAAATATAATTTACACACCAAAAGGTACATAAGTCAAACACATGCAAAATCACCATTTAGGTAAAAACTAGGACATAGCCAGCACCTCAGAAGTCTCTCCATGACCCTCACTGTTTACCTAACAATCTGATTTTTATGGTAAACACCTCTTTTTCTATAGATCTATTCCTTAAATACAGATCTCTAAGCATTGTGGTTTAAGTTGCCTATTTTCTAAATTTGTATAAACAGAGCTATAGGCTTATGTGTTTTGCTATTTTTATCCAATTTTATGTTTCTGATTGGCCCATGCTGCTAGATGTAGTTGTCCTTCATTCATTTTTGTGGCTGGACCCAGATTAAGTTTGACAGGTGAAGGTTTAGGCAAGTCCTAAGTCTCCATGACTTAGAACTTCACTAGTACCTCAGTGACACTGTGCCCAGAGTTCTGTTGCAGAGAAGAGAATCCTATGTAGGTAGAGATTTACTGCAGATTTTATGCGGCATGTAGATAACTTGACGGGCAGACAAAACAGTCTCTAGGGGGACCTTTCAGAAACCTCCGTCCCCTCTCCCCAGCCACACCACAGAACTGGGCACCCAAGCAGCTCCTACCACTCAAAACTTCTCAGCCTCCAGCCTTAAGTCATCACTGCCTTGACCTTGAAGCCACTGCAATCAGAAATTGCCCTGATTAAGAAGGTTCCACGCTTATAGAGGGTTTCCCTCGTGGCTCAGATGGTAAAGAATCTGCCTGCAAGTAGGAGACTCAAGTTTGATCCCTGGAGAAGGGAAGGACTACCCACTCCAGTATTCTTGTCTGCAGAATCCCATGGACAGAGCAGACTGGCGGGCTACAGTCTGTGGGGTCGCTAAGAGTCTGACACGACTGAATGACTGACACTTAGTTACTTATTTATGCTTATCAAGTCATGAATGCAGCAGATTCCAGAACCATTCTATGCCTGGTACAAACTTCACCAGCAAAAATTGATAAGCCTTTTTTTTTTTTTCCTTCATAACACCTATGAACGGCACCCGTGCTAGTGACTGAACCTCTGTTGGCATTGCCAAGAAAGACCAAACACTTCCACGGCATGCTTGGCAGCGGAAATAGCAAACGCAACATGAGGACAGTGGGTTTGCAGAGCCGAAAATACCTGGAACTTCAGCTGAAGTGGGTGGGAAAATATAGTCTTTCGCTTTCCAGCACTGTTATACAGCAATGGATTTCACTTTGGGGATCAGGACTCATCGTCAGTGAATCATCAAAGCACTGAAAAAAATAAAATAGAGCAGAATAACATTTTCAGAGGGCATCAACCTAGGGTAATTTCTGTTTTGTGCCTCACACACATATGTATGGACTGCAAAGTAAAATATTTTCTCACTAGGGGTTGAGTAAAAAAAAAGTTCAAAAGCCACTACACTGAAAGGGGAATGGAATAGATGTCAAGTGCCAAACGATCATATCCCCCACAACTCCTGCAACCGAACACGGAGTGATACATGTGTTCAAGAATGAGACACTTTGACAAGCCTTGTTGGCTACTATAATCTAGCAATTCACTTTGGAGCATCTTAGTGTCTGGATTACCCTTTCAGCCTGCACCCCTTTCCAAAACATCATCCATGAGTCCCAGAGTGATCTTTCTGAACACAAATCTGATTATTTCACTCTATTTTAAAGCATTCAGTAGCTTCCTCTGACTTATAGAAGTTATCTTCAAACTTAAGGTGCTTGTTAAAATACAGATCCCCAGATTTTCCTCAGAGATTCTAATTTAAATAACTTGAGGATGGGGTCCAGGAATCTGCACTCATAGTGGGAAACCCTAGTGAATAAAATCCAGGATCCTTAGCACGACCAAAAAAATGTGGCTCTGTACCAAGCTGGCCCCACCTCAATTTTTCCTGCCCCGCCACCAATCCCCCTTCCCTCGTAGACCCTCCCCTCCCCTAGACAGTGAACCACTTCTATGCCCTTTGTACTTCATGCTTTTATACCCTACATTATCACATGTTGCTTCTTACAACTGAAACGTTCTACTTACTCCCGTTCTTGTCAAATATTTCCCAAGCTCCTATTCACCTTAAAGGACCAATATTACCTCTCTAGGAAACCTTCTCTTATATGCGAATACAGTTTATGTTCCTTTGGTATTCCACGTATTTTATACCTGCGTGCATACTCAGTTGTTCGGTCATCGCTGACTCTTTTGCGACACCAGGGACTGTAACCCACCAGGATCCTCTTGTCCATTTCTGGCAAGAATACTGGAGTGGGCTGTCATTTCCTCCTCCAGGGGATCTTCCCAGCCCAGAGACAGAACCCACATCTCCTGCATTTGCAGACAGATTCTTTATCATTGAGCCACAAGGGAATAATACTAAGTATTATTTTATATTATAATCACATTGAATTGTAATTATTTGTTGACATTATTTTCCTATGAAAACCAGGAGCTTATTAGATATAAGCACTGTGTCTTATGGTTTTGGGCTTTTTGTTGTTTATATCCACAGCCTGGCACCATGTCAAAGTACTATCGATATAAAGCATTCAGTAGCTTCCTCTGACTTGTAGAAGTTATCTTCAAACTTAAGGTGCTTGTTAAAATACAGATCCCCAGATTTTCCTCAGAGATTCTAATTTAAATAACTTGAGGATGGGGTCCAGGAATCTGCACTCATAGTGGGAAACCCTAGTGAATAAAATCCAGGATCCTTAGCACGACCAAAAAAATGTGGCTCTGTACCAAGCTGGCCCCACCTCAATTTTTCCTGCCCCGCCACCAATCCCCCTTCGCTCGTAGACCCTCCCCTCCCCTAGACAGTGAACCACTTCTATGCCCTTTGTACTTCATGCTTTTATACCCTACATTATCACATGTTGCTTCTTACAACTGAAACGTTCTACTTACTCCCGTTCTTGTCAAATATTTCCCAAGCTCCTATTCACCTTAAAGGACCAATATTACCTCTCTAGGAAACCTTCTCTTATATGCGAATACAGTTTATGTTCCTTTGGTATTCCACGTATTTTATACCTGCGTGCATACTCAGTTGTTCGGTCATCGCTGACTCTTTTGCGACACCAGGGACTGTAACCCACCAGGATCCTCTTGTCCATTTCTGGCAAGAATACTGGAGTGGGCTGTCATTTCCTCCTCCAGGGGATCTTCCCAGCCCAGAGACAGAACCCACATCTCCTGCATTTGCAGACAGATTCTTTATCATTGAGCCACAAGGGAATAATACTAAGTATTATTTTATATTATAATCACATTGAATTGTAATTATTTGTTGACATTATTTTCCTATGAAAACCAGGAGCTTATTAGATATAAGCACTGTGTCTTATGGTTTTGGGCTTTTTGTTGTTGTTTATAGCCACAGCCTGGCACCATGTCAAAGTACTATCGATACCCATTCAATACAATGAATGGGTGATATATTGATTGGTAGTTGGATGGATAGATTGTTCAATGAACAGAACTGCTTCTAGAAGGTAGGTGTGGTTTCTCTTTTGATATTGGTTTTCAACAGAGATTAGAACTGTTACTGCTAGAATACCTGATCTTCTATCGGGGTAGCTGATGCCTTTGGAAAACCAAATGAGTTACCTGTTAAGAACAGGTTCTATGGATTCAGCCTGAGTCATCCATAGGGGTCAAGTCTGGTGGGTGAAATTTCAATTAAGAATTAAATATTGGTGCAGTCTCAAAATATTTTCCCACAAAATGCTGATCATTTATAAGTGGGAAAATGGTGAATTTTATGTTTCCTGAGAAGATGCTGGGGAAGATTAAAGGCAGGAGAAGGGGATGGCAGAGGATGAGATGGTTGGATGGCATCACCAACTCGATGGACATGAGTTTGAGCAAGCTCTGGGAGTTGATGATGGAGAGGGTAGCCTGGTGTGTTGCAGTCCATGGGGTGGCAGAGTTGGACATGACTGAGTGACTGAACTGAACTGAGAAGTCTCAAGAAAACATATCATATCATTTTCCTGTAAAGAAAACATGATCTGATTCTGAACATGGGACAAACTTAGGTAGAGAAATACATACAGACTGAAAAGATGGAAAGACTTAAAAAAACAAAACTATTCCAGACTGAGTGATATTGGAAGTCTATGACAATTAAATGATCTTGGTATGGCTACTAGACCATAAAAAAAGAGACGTTACTGGTACAGTTGGAAAAACTTAAGAGTGTTCTATGAACTGGATGGTTGTATTGATTGTTTTGTATTGATAGTATTGTATTGATATTACTTTTTGAGCTTGGTTGTACTTTGGTTGTGTAGAAAACTGTGTTTTGGAAAGATAGAAACTGGGGGAAGTGAGAGTGATGAATCCTCAGCTCTGCAGTTACTGCTTAAATGGTTTAAAAAAGAATAATGATAAAATTATATATATATATATATATACATATATATATATATGTAAAGAGAGAGGTAGAATAAAGGTGACAAAATATTAATAATTTGGAATGTTGAGTAAAGAGAATGTGTGAGTTCTCTATACATGTCTTGAAGTTTTTCTGTATGTTTGAAGTAATTTAAAAATAAATACCATTGACTTTATTTGTGACCAAGATGGAATAACATGGATCAAATTTACCTTCTTGCCTTAAACAACTGCCAAGGCAGCTTGAATTTGTAGGACAAAGTACCTGGGTCAGAGGAGAATGATGCATACAGAAGAACTCTGAAGATATGCAGAGGGTTCCTTTTGACCATTTAGCAGAGACTGATCGGCTTACATATATGAGAAAGCTGTCCAAGATTGGAGAAAACATCAACAAACAAGTATTCAACACTCAGGCTTCCCGGGTAGCTCATCCAATAAAGAATCTGCCTGCAATGCAGGAAACTCTGGTTTGATTCCTGGGTTAGGAAGATCCCCTGAAGAAGGGATAGGCTACCCACTCCAGTATTCTTGGGCTTCCTTGGTGGTTCAGACAGTAAAGAATCCATCTGCAATGTGGGAGACGGGTTCAATTCTTGGGTTGGGAAGATCCCCTGGAGGAGGGCCTGGCAACCCACTCCAGTATTCCTGCCAGGAGAATCCCATGGATAGGGCCTGGCAGGCTACAGTTGATGGGGTCACAAAGAGTCTGACATGATTGAGCAACCAAACGCAGCATTCAGCACTCACAAAGGACCAGCAATAGCGTCTGTCCCACCAGCCAGATTGTAAAATGTTGCAATTCATGAGGTGTTGGGTATAGAGTATTTAGAAGAGTCTTGCCTCAGTACTAAGGGACACATTACCAAGATTAAATGCAGCGCTAGTCTAGGCTAACAAGTTTTAAAAAGCAAGGCCCAATAGGATCAAAATTTTTCCAAGAAACTCAACTGCATATCAGAACAAAGCTTAAGAATATTTATAGGTATACAGAAATAGTCAGGAGCCAGCAAGGTAAAATTCACAAAGTCTGGCATCCAATAAAAGAATAACAGACTATCCTGAGAAGCAGAAAAATGTGATCTATAATAAGGAGAATAATCAATCAGTGAAAACCTACATAGAACTGAAACAGATATTAGAATCAGCAGAAACAGACATGAAAAGAATTATTTTAGCTATATTCTGAAAGCCCCCAAATAGAGATATAGAACATATGAAAAACAAATACAAAAAATCAAATAACTCAAGTGAAAAGCAACAATGTCTAAGATTAAAAAAAATTCACTGGATGGAATTAATAGTAGATTAGACATAACAGATGAAAACACTAGTAAATTTGTAAACATAGCAATAGAAGCAATATGAGATGAAAAGCAAAATGAAAATGATGAGCATCAGTAGCTTTGAGACAACTTTTAACATCCTAAAAGTTGTCAGTTGGGGACTGTAACCTGAGTCCCCAAGTGAGAGGTTGGTGAGAGAAAAAAATATACTTGAAGAAATGACTGGAAAATTCCAAATTTGATGACGTCTGAAAACTACATATCTGAGAATGCCAATGAACTTCAAGCACAAGAAACATAAAGAAAACACACAACGGGGGAAGGCGTCGTTGTTGTTCAGTCGCTCAGTGGCGTCTGACTCTTCACGACTCCATGCACGGCAGCAGGCCAGGCTTCCCTGGCCTTCACCATTTCCCGGGGAAAGGAAAGGGTGAGATGAATCGAGAAAGTGGCATTGAAGCATATACATTACCATATGGAAAATAGACAGCCAGTGGGAAATTGCTGTATTGATGCAGGGAGCTCAGATCTGGTGCTCTGTGACAACGTAGAGGGGTGGGATGG